TGTGGGGAGGGTAGATGTGACTCTAAAAGAATTTGTACAAGAGAGTTAGGGGGTAATGGGACTGCTCTGAATCCTGATTTGGGAGGTGGTTACATGAATGTACACATGTGTTAACTTTCACAGACTTGTGCAACTCTCCTCTAACATCAAGTGTACTGTATAATTTGAAATTTTTAAAAATCAAATGAGAAAAAAAAAATAATCGTATGTCACCCAGTTCACGCATACGATAAATACACCTAATAGAAAATATCTCTGGGATGAGGTCGGTCAATAGAAGCCGAATTCAGAATATATACCCGCAGGTGGGAACGAGAAGGGCAGTAACTCACAGGCATCACGTGCAGTTTGGTTATGTGAAGCGGGTAAGTGACATTCTTTTTTTTTTTTTTTTTACGCCTACAGCACCTGGTCTTCCTAGGTGGTCTCCCATCCAAGTACTAACCAGGCCTGACCCTGCTTAACTTCCGAGATCAGACGAGATCGGGCGTGTTCAGGGTGGCATGACTGTAGACGGTAAGTGACATTCTTGAGTTACTGGGCACAATCTGGTAATTCTCTGAAAGGGCAAGATAGTTGTGACTTGTAATGTTTCATTTCCATGAATTTTGTCTTCATGGTCTCTTACAACAGCCTTAAGGGAGAAAATTTAGGCTTAGAAATGGTAAAGGATTTGCCCCATTTTGATCTCGGTTCCGTCTGGTTCCTGAGTGGCCACTAAAGCCACAGTGAGGTGAGGATTACATCGTGATTCTTTTCTTTTCTCTGCTGTACCCTGAGACTACTCCTTAATCCTCTGTGCTCTTAAAGTCCTGCTCTTCCTTTAAAGCAGTGATGGAAGGGGCGGGGGGTTGCCTCCAAGGGACATGTGGCAATATCTGGAGACATTTTTGGTTGTCATCAGCATCTGGTGGGTAGAAACTACAGATGATGCTAAACATCCTACAATGTACAGGACAGCCCCCTGCACAAAGCATTTTTAGCTCCAAATGTCGCTAGTCCAGAGATTGAGAACTTCCTGGTTTAAAGGAAGAAAGGAAACATGTATTAAACGTATCCATGAGCCAGACACTGTGCTAGGTATTAAGTTCTTATCTCAGTTATCTCCTCAAGACCCTTATGAAGTAGGTATTATTAATCCCAATTTATAATTTAGAAGGCTATTGCTCAGACCCACAAAGCAATGTGCCCAAATCCCAGTGATGAGACAAGAAGCTGTGGGTGCCTCAGGCTTCTGTGATTGCAAAGCTCAGGGTGCCCGCAATGTGGTGCCCCTGGGGTGGGCTGGACCCTCCTTAAACCTCCCTTTAATTCTATCTCCTCTGGTTTCAAAAACCACCTCTAAGAGATCTACAAACAAGGGAAGCTGTTGGGCTGGCAGAAGGGAAAATCTGAATTCTAGAGGCTCCCAGGAAATGGGTGGGGCTTGGTATCACTAAGACCTACCCAGGATCGGTTTGTCCCTCGTTTCCTTTTGCAGCACCCATCCCTCCACCCTCAGGGCACTAATGTTTCTTCTCCCTCCAAACAGCCCAGAGACATTCCCAGCCAATCGCTCTAGGACAGCTTCCTCTCCCCTTCCACCAGCCTGTGTTGTTGGACCTATCAAAGGAGTGGGGCACTCAGGCAGCTGCCGGGAACAGGGAGACAGTCACAGAATAACATGCTACACTCAGTTCCCCACAGTAACTTCCGACAGGCAGGGCGTGCCTCAGAAAATAAGCAAACTGGTTTAAAAACAAGTTTCATAATCACCTCTGAGTGATTGTGGTTCAATTTTACCCTTTCATATAATGAGTATTTACAGTTCCAACAGTTGAAAATGGGGTGTGTGTGTAAGATAGAAGGAGGAGAGACGAGAGGAGAAGAGAGAGATTGGAGGAAGAGAAGTAGACAAACAGAGGGAAGGCACAGGAACAGCATAAGAAAAAGACATATGCTTAGAATTAACATAACACTCGGAAAACAGCTGACCTCGCAACAAATAAAGAAGAACCCTGAGATTAGGGAACTCTCTCTTGCAAAATAAGCAAGACCACATGAATGGAAGCTGCTCTTCAAAATTACTCTAGATAATTGCAGCTAGGCCTCAGGGCGGGCAGCACACCATTGTTCTTGAACTTGGCAAAGCAGAGTCAATTCCTGACCAGGCTCCAGGGTTGACCACTGCACTAACCCACCCTCATCCCTGCTCCCTGCCTCCCCTCCCAGCCCAGCCACAGCCACGCAGACGGCACTCACAGTTCTAAAATCAGGATGACATCCGTCTTGTTCTCATAAACCTCATGCAAGGTGATGACGTTGGGGTGCTGGATCTCCTTCAGGATGCTGACCTCCCGCTCGATATCCTCACGGCTCACACCCCGCCTGCTGGATTTTGTCCTCCTTTTTTTAATGAATTTGGCGGCATACTGTAGACCGGTGCTTTTCTCACGGCATTTCTTCACGACTGCAAACTGCCCGCTGAAGAGAGAAGATGGAAAAGAGTCGCAGGACATTTATACATTCCTTTGGTTCACTAAAAAACAGGATTTGAGCAGGGATGTGGCACAGGGGAGACAATGACATTGTGAGTCGGAAAATCCAAATTGTAGAAAATTAATAAATTAAGTAAGGATATTTCTTATTACATTTTAGTTCCATTAAGCCTGTTTTTTTTTTATGAACAATATTGCAAGGAATAAAAATCATTTTCTTGAATTATGTTTTACTGAATGCGTAAAATGCCTCCACTTCTGTGCTTGCCGCCTTCCCTCCCATTTCAAATTTGGGAACAACAAGAAGGAGCTTCCCGATAGGACCTCATTTCTGACAAGCTTTTTTTCTTGCGTGTTGAGGAAAACAAGGGATTGAGACCAGGGAATTGGTAGAAAAATATACAGGGACCTGACTCCAATGACATATTTCTAGCACCGATATTTATCAACTGAAACACCCAGAACAAAAACTGCCATATATTTTGTTCACACTTCAGGCACAGATAAGCCCTATGTACTAGACATTTGCTGGTTGCTTCTCCAGCATCGCCACTCTCCTCTTTATATATATATATATATATATTTTTATACATATATATAATGATTATATATATAATTTCTTTGATATGTGTATATATATATAAAAATATATATTTATATATATTTATATGTGTGTGTATATATGTATATATATATGTGTGTGTGTGTATATATATATACACATATGTATATATAAAATCTAGGAATCTTTGTGGTTCTGGGAAGCTGACTCCAACCCCAACTATAGATACAGATATGACCTAGGCTAAGCCAATCAGTGTACTACATTCTCATGGCTCCGAGGATAGGCACGTGACCTAAGTAAGACCTTCCAGAGAAAGTGAAGACAAAGACTTTTTCTGAGACTCTGATCCCCCAAAGCTGCTGCCAGCCATCTTGGGACCATGAGGGGAGCCACTCTTGGTTTAAGGCCAATCATTGCAGAGGCATAGAAGGAAAGAAATTAGGTCTGGAGTAACATAGTGGAGTGGCTGGATGTACCCTGGCCTGAAGCCATCTGCCTTTGGATTTTTCAGCAACATAAGTCAATAACTTCTTTTTACAGCTAAAGCCAGTTTGATTTGTATTTTCTATTTCTTGCAGAGGAAAGCATCCTATACACCCTATGCCACGGAATGTAACCACATCCTCCTATTCATATATAAAAGAATGTAATAAAAGAACTTGACACAAAATAAAAGGTGAATATGTAAGCGGGGGAGATCTTTAGAGGTAAGTAGGGTCTGATATAAGTGAAACACAATAGAAAGACACTTCCTGCATCTATCATCACTTCTTCCCTGCGCCCAAGGCAGGGTCGATCCACCCATCACAGGATCTGTACATTTCTTGGCACCTGCTGGAGAAGTGCTATGTATAGAATTATCACAGTTATTTTTAGCTAGCTTCATTCTCCTCCCATAAAGACAAAAGGGGAAGAGAAAATTCGAATTAAGGGTAATATTTTGATGTTAAAGAATGGATATTTAAAATGTAACTCATTTACTTTAGCAATGGGAGGCCAGTGAAGAAAAAAACACATAGCGAAGGATTATTTTTATAGCAAACTTTTTGCATGACAGGTTATTAATACTCTTTTCCCCTATAGCAGGATAGCAGAGAAGAAGAAATCACATCGGAACGCTAGCACCAAATGCCCATAAAATCACCACCTTAAAGAGTCGTGGGATCTGCTATGACTTTCTTACAACCACTTTCTAATTTCTCTGGAGAGTGAAGAACTGGTCTTTCTGTCTACTGTGGGGAGGGGGGTGGAAAGCAGAATGGAGTTTATGGAGAAAAGAAGGAAAACAGCCTCATTCCCCACAAAGACGGTATCATGTTCCTACTGAGGAATCTCAAGGGGCCCCGGGAGAGCAAGGCACCTCGAAACCACAAGCAACCATGATTCCAGGGCCTAGGCTGTCCACGATGCCTCTCACACAGTCATGGTCACGGTCACCTACATGACGGCTTGTCTCGGGCTGTAAAGACTCAAGGCAGAGTCTGTGGTTTGAATCACATTGCATTAAAACACAAAATGAAAAAAAAAAAAATCCGCAGGTGATCTACAAAGAACTTAAATCAAGCCTAAATTCAAAGAACTGAGTATTTTCTCTATCAAATATTCTGCTGTTGATTGTTTTCCCCGTTTCATTATGGGAAGGTGAGGGCACCAAGGCCTGCCAACCCTAATGGCGGGGTTAAAGTCCCAGACATCCTGTGTGTCAAGGACAGGAGTGTGTGCACAGGTCTAAGCTGACTGTGTCACCCAGCTTTGCAGCAAAACATCTGGAAGCCCACTCCCTCACCAGACAATTAATCCCTCACTCACACTTTGGGGTTGCCATGAGGGGGGCACGGGCGAGAAAGGAGGGGCTAAGGTGCTAGCAGGCAGGAAAGACCCCCTCCGCCCACCCCATGGGATTCTAACGCTGCATGAGCACCTGCTATGTCCAGGCTAACCTTGGCTGCAGAGGGTCAAAGAGGGCGTAGAATGATTCTGAGGGGCGCTTTCCAGGTCCATCTTAATTCTGCCTTTTTAAAGACATCTTTCGCTATTTATTTCTGACTCTCCAACAACCTGCCCCACCTCCTGGCTCCAATCAGTGCTCTCTCTGGCACCCCTGAGTCCACAGAGCACTTCACACCCTTCTGAGGCACTTGCTCTTTTCTGCCTGTTTCTTAGCTATTTCCTCCCCTCCCAAAACTGAAATTCCTTGAGGATAGAGGGTAGTTAAGGGCTTCTTTCTATTTCCAGAGGCAATGGGTGTGGAGCTTCTCAGGAGCCCATGCACAATGTTGCATTCTGAATCTATAATCCTAAAAACCAGAGGTGTTAAACTGAAGATGCTTCACCATAATTCAGTAGAACTGTGTAGGGCTTGGGGCACAGACTGCCTGTGTTTGAGTCTTGATTCCATGACCTGCTTGCTGTGTGACCATGGGCTTGCTTACTACTTAACCGCTTTATGCCTCAGTTTCCTATCTGTAAAGTAGGTATAATAATAGGCCCTGCCTGAGAGGGCAGCTGGAGTGGAAGGGGACGGATTAAATGAGCTACAATGTGTAAAGTGGCTAGGACAGCATCTCGAAGTAGTAAGTCTTCAATAACTGTTAGCTATGATTCATCTTCGACAACTGGAGTTACTGTCATTAGCTCATGGTTGCTTAAATCCCAAAGCGCTGCAGTATAAGCCCCAAAATATCACCTTTCATGACTGCCAAGGGGGGAAAGAACCCTAAAGGGAAAAATAAGGAAAACTACACAGCTGAAGTGTGTACAGCTACTGCTAAATCTGGCTGCTGGCTTCCACCTTGAAACCCATCATCCTGCTCCCTTCCTCTCTGGGCCCCACTCAGAGGGAACGCGCTGGGGCTGACTGCTGCTCACTGCCGCTGGGCCCTCCCCTGAAAACTCAGAGTCACGGCAGAGCCCAAGGGCAGGCAGGACACCCACTCAAGGCGCAGAGGCCTTGTGGTACACTTGGTAACATGGGTCTGGAATTTTCCCAGTGCAATCTCCGCAGGCAGCCAGCAAACTAAGAACAGACACTTCGGAGAAGAAACTTTTCTCTAAGAACAGTAATTTGCTTTGTGAGGCCTAATTCGACTTGGACTGTTGGCTAATTGCTGCTCCCATCCTTTCCTTCCTGGGCAGCTGGCCCAGCCCCGCCCCCATTCCTCAGAGCACTTTGGGGGAGCAGTGCCTCTTCTCTGATACCCGCCTCATCCACCAACTGAAAAAAACAATTTGGTGGGGGCAGGGGAGTGGGGTGGAGGTTGAGGGGGGAGTTGGCAAGAGCTTCTAAATCATAAGTTCCAGAATAAACAACCCGACAGCCTTCCGGGTGAGCTCCGAGCAGGGAGAAGTAAATGCACACAGAGAAGCAAGGCCACCACTGCAGAGCACTTGAAGGACTGCCTGTTGCCCCAGTCTCCATCTCCTGTTACAAACACTCGAGGATCCTCCATGACTGGCACCCATACAGATGGCTGAAACCACGGTTCAATGGGAGGGGGAATGTAGCTTCCTTACTGGAAAATAGAAACTCATGTATACGGGGACATTTAAATTGACGAAACAAAGAACAGGTGATCCTCATTTTTTGCAGGATCCATATTTGCAGATTCACCTACTTGCTAAAATTTATTTAGTGACCTCATGACTAACACTTGCCCCGCTTTCACGGTCATTTGCAGACTGGAGTTGCCCAATGGGCATGTTCCCAGCTAAGGTCGATCAAGGCAACATTCTGCCTTCTTGTTTCAGCTCTCATACTGTAAACAAGTGTCCTTTTTATGCTCTGTTTAGAGCCATGATTTTTTGCATTTTGTGTTATTTGTTGGTGATTTCACTATTCATAAAGGCCCCCAAGTATAGTGCTAAAGTATTGTCCAGCATTCCTAAGTACAGAGGCTGTGATGTGCCTTACAGAGAAAATACATGTGTTAAATAAGCTTCATTTAGGCATGACTTTAATGCTGTGGGCTATGAGTTCAATGCTAATGAATCAACGACGTATATTAAATAAGGTGCCATTAAACAGAAATACACATAAAACATGCATGGATCTGTTGTTAAAATGTTGTGACCAGAGGCTGGCAGGAACCTAACCCTGTATTTTCTCCAGGACCAATGGCTCAGTATTCGCTAATTCAATGTTTGCAGTAAATTTATAGAACAAAACTATCATGAATAATGGGAATCAATTGTCATCTTTTAAACAATGAACATTCTCTGTTATCTAATAACTGACAGAACAGTTTGTTGCACTAGGTAGAGAGAGCTAAATTCGTTTTGACACATAAACACTCAGTTAAGTGTAATAAACATTTAACTACAGACACAAGACAATGAGACATATCCTTGCTTGAAAGAGCTTCATACCAAAAAATAATTAACTCAAACATAATCACAAATTTATTAAAAAGAGAAAAACTTTA